TATGCCACGGCAACTACCCTAGCGTCTTGTATAAAAGCATGTCTCGGGTAGAAGCCTGTCTGGAATACCAGACTGATTTTTCAAGATGCACCGCCAGCACATACCGTAAAGTCTTGTATAAAAGCCGCGGCTTCTATGACTTTCTTGGTGAAATTTGCAGGCTTCTATATGAGACAGGCTTCTACCAGAAGGGTAAGCAATAATTTTTGTGATCGTGAAATATTCTATCGGCAAATCTACAACACCATACATAGAAATATCTGGTTTGAACAGAAGCATGATTTGAATAGAGGCCTAGCCTGACGCCGGCTTCAACAGGAATGCGCCTGGTGGCTTATATGCGTGACATTACGATATGCCAACCAAACAAGATGAAGCAAGCAAATTTATTTACTTTCGTGAAGTAAATAAAGGGTGCTGGCCCTTCCCGTTTCGGCTGTGCATGGGCTCTCGTACCTCGGATTTGACTACCACCTTAGCTCCGTCAAGATCCCCGCTTCAGCAGTAAGTACCTGACCGACCCCTTTATCTCCCTCACACACACGCGTGACCAGCACAGCAAACTCACCAGCCTCTGGTGTCCGGTTGCGGACAATGTTACTCTGACTGCTCCTACCAATGAAGTTCATGGCGACGACAAAGAACTGATAGTCGGTGTTAGGCACCAAGGTGGTAAATGGCACGAGAACACTGAGGCTGTTTGACCCGCGATGCAGCTCTTCTGTTTGCATCCTACTGGCATTGTTGAAAGAGGCGGTCAACACGTAGGTGATGCTAGAAGACGACGGAATATTTCCGTTCGAACCGGGAACCCAGGAAAACCTCAGACCTTGCGATGCCATGTCCTTAGCAACTGATAGATTGACCATTTCTGGCACACCTAGGCAGGTCACAACAAAGACAACACTCACACTATTACCGTACATGTACACTGTATACAGTGTATAGCCATGCTTTCTCATCAACCATCAGCACACAGTACAGTCATGCTTTCTCATCAACCATCAGTACACAGTATAGCCATGCTTTCTCATCAACCATCAGTACACAGTATAGCCATGCTTTCTCATCAACCACCAGTACACAGTATAGCCATGCTTTCTCATCAACCACCAGTACACAGTATAGCCATGCTTTCTCATCAACCATCAGCACACAGTATAGCCATGCTTTCTCATCAACCATCAGCACCACAACTGCGCTCTGCAGCCGACAACCACAGCACACCATCAGCAAAGCGACACGTCCGTTCATGCAGCTGTTTCGAGCATAAAACTCTCGTCAGTGAAGTTAGAGATATTGTAGAATGGCTAAGATAGTGACAAACTGACAGTCACACTGTTGTACCAAACGGGGAAGCATAACGCACGCACCTGAGGCGCGAACATTAGGGCTAAGCAAAAGAACCACGTGCAAAATACAGTGAAAAGCTTTAAAAAACTGGGCAAATGTAAAGTGATAATATGGAGTGATAGTGCTAATAGCCAGGTGTGAAGTCTATAGACAGCACAGCATAGCAACTAGCAACGCAAGTGGCCCGGCCTGGGGCAACACTGCCACTGCATTGCTAAATTGCTCAGCTACAATAACATCATGGAAGCTGAAGAACGCCTGTGATGTGACGACGGCGAGGTGCGGTGTGGTGGGTGAGTGGACGGAGTTAATTTTTAATTTTTAACATGCCCCAGGGGCCACTCGCGTTGCTACTTGCTATGTTGTGCTGTCTATCCAATCCACACTTGGCTATTAGCACTGCCACGTCATATCTATCACCTTACAATATCCCATAGCTCAGTGGTTAGAGCATCGCTGGCCTCAAGCAACGGTCCTTGGTTCTAGTCCTGGTGGTGAGAGTCAATTTTTTTCTTCAGACTTTCCCCATTTTCCATTCCCTCCACCTACGAATCTACGAATACTGCATCTACCCAACAAGACTTGTGTGTTTGGTGAGGAAGGCCTTGACAGTTCCAGTCCACCTTGGCTTACTGTAATCTCACAAATTTTCGGTGTACTTTTATTTTCGGCACTTTCAGTGCATCTGCTTCGTACCTAAAATTTCAATACACCGAACAAACACTAACACACATAATCCAATAGGGAACTGCTTCTCTGTAACTAAAATTTCTGTTCACCTAACCTGGCCTTTTGTCCTCATACAGAAAATATCGAGCACCGAAAATTTCTGAAATTAGAGTACCTTGGACAATGATGGTGGTACTCGCCATCTGACTGCCAGCAGCATTACTGCCGACGCAGGTCACGCTGTAGTTCTTTCGGCTGCCCATGAAATCTGTGGTGTTTAGCTTGGATCGAGCCTCCACCTGGAAAGCGTCCACTGGGATACTGCTCAAAGTATGGAGGCTATATTCGGCGTCATCTTGCCATGAAATAGTGGGCTCTCTGAAGCCAACTGCACGGCAGGTTACAGCGAATTCCGAACTAGCATTAATGCGGTGTTCGACATCTGGTGGTTGAAGTGACACACGGGGCAGAGCTATACACACACACACACACACACACACACACACACACACACACGCACACGCACACGCACACACACACACACACACACACACACACACACACACACACATACACACACACACACACGCATGCACAACAACAGCAGCAGCAGCGATGACGACGACGAAGACAAAGAAGCCAATTGGGAAAGGCTTAAAACAAGCATTGTTTCCAGTGGTGGCACAAATAGAAATGGCTAATGGGCTGCTTGAAGGGCAGATTTAGAGCAGATACCATCTTTACCGGGTCAGAGCTGCACCAGCTCATTAACTCCCCCCACCCCCTCTTGGAGCAAATAACACATTTCAGTTGCTCTTTGTTTGTTTGTTTGTGCGTACATTTACTAGGGGTGCGTAGGGCCTGGGTTTTCATGTGAAAATGCGCGACTTTGACACCAAAAACATGGCACTAGCATCGAGTGGCTGGGCATTGGAAGTTAAAGACCTCTAAATATGTAGTCTGAAACTCGGATGTTGAGCCATAAATAAATGTAGAAAGGAAAATATAGTATATTATATAGTATCTAGTTAGATCTTAACTCGTATCCATATGTCCTTTTCCTTTTTATTTATGTAGCCATTTCAACTATACATGATTGTGTTATTACACAACTACAACTACATGTACTTGCTCCTCTTTTACACACCTACTCTCTACACTTCTGGGTGCTCAGTGCTCAGTGTGACACACCTACTCTCTACACTTCTGGGTGCTCAGTGCTCAGTGTGACACACCTACTCTCTACACTTCTGGGTGCTCAGTGCTCAGTGTGACACACCTACTCTCTACACTTCTGGGTGCTCAGTGCTCAGTGTGACAGAATGACTACTAGTACTCACTGAAGACATTGACCGAAGCAGTGAGTGCACCAGTTCCAGCCTGGTTGACGGCAGTGCACGTGTAATTCCCCGTGTCTTTCACCGTCGCGTTGGTAATGACCAGCCGTAGACCATTGCCAGTACCGAGCGGCATGATGCTAACACGCGACGAGTCATTACTAAGCTCCTGACTGTCGCTTCCGTTGACAGTGTTCAGCGTGAAGGTGACATCGGCAACGGGATCACTAAGTACACCACATGGCAGCTCTATAGTCTGTGACTCGTTGAAATCGGAATTCGGAAAACTTGCCACAGTCGGAGGGCCTGTGCAGCAAAAAGAAGAGAGAAGACAATAGGGCTTGAAAGTGCTAGATCACAGCCAGACTGGAGCCAGGACTGAAGGATAACTGCTGATCTTGCTTGCATGCATTGGTCTAATACTGATGACTGTGGTGTCATGTATTTAGAGTCTAGTGCACGGTATTGCTTTGTGGTACAAGTATTACATTGTTCATGTTAGATAAGTAGATTGGGTTGCAAGGATAGCATGTTAGAAATAATTGATTGGAACATCTGGGCCGCTCAATTACGTTAAGAGCACACTCTCATCATTGTTAACAACATTGTTGATCATACGGGTCAGATCCTAGTGTTTACCTAGTCATGTAATTTCTCGTGCTGCTGTGTTCAGCTGGTTGGACTACTCTAATACCTTAATTACTAGCCTTCGATAGCAAGTGCGAGTGCGGGCTTTTGCTGCGCAACTGGTATACCTCACAGTGTATTTAGAATAGTCTTCAATAATAATCTAGGGCAGTGAGTTTCACTACTTCCTAGAACCAGTACAAGAAACACCAGGTCCTGAGATTGTGCGGTGTGCGTGCGTGTACGTGCCGTAGAAGAGTCTGATGGTCTTTCCCCTTCAGCTCTTGGTGCCGAAACCCGGGATAGGCAGAACGTACTGCTGTGGGTTTTCCTAGAGAGAGGTCCGGTGAGGAGTATGGCGGCGAAGATTGAAGGGTTCTTGCGCTCCTACAGAGGGAAGGGCGACAGCTGGGAGGTGTTTTGGGCCAAGTTCGCGTTCTTGGCCACAAACCAGAAGTGGGACTCAGACGACAAGAAGATGGCGCAGCTTCCGCTCTACTTGGACGGCGATGCGTTTATGGTTTACAACGCCATGGACGACGCGGACCAAAAGAAACCGGACAAAGCAGAGAAAAGAATGAAAGAAGCGTTTTGCCTCACGAAGTCGCAGGCATACAAGCTGTTTGTTGCGCGCCGCTTGCAGCTGGATGAATCCCCAGATGGGTACATTGCCGACCTTAGGAGGCTAGCAGCGGTGGCAGGCCTTGGAAGAGGCGCGGATGCAGACAGCGTGCTCGTAGAGCAAATCCTGAACGGCTTACCTTCATCCATGGCGCAGCAAGTGCGCCTTGCTCTGGTTGGAAAAGGCGACGACGTATCGTTGTGCCTGCAGTTGGTTCGAGCATTGCAGCAAACTGGAACTGAGGATGATGTTGTTTCAGCTGCAAGTGGCGCGAGTGGCCCCGGGCCGGCAGGCTCTGGTACGCGGAATGTGCTTTGCTTCCGTTGCAATAAGCTTGGCCACGTGCGGCGAAACTGCCCGGAGGCGAAGTCTGGCTACGATCGCGGTGCTTGGAGGAGCTCAGCGGCGGGGGGTACAAGTGACGTGCGGCCTGGCCTCACTTGTTTCTTCTGCGACAAGCCTGGTCACTTGAAAGCAGACTGCGAAGAACGGAGGGCCTGGGAGGCCCAGCGGTCAAGCAAAGTCACCGGTCAGCCATCACCATCGGCAGCCTGCACGTCTTCCCCGCAGGAATGTTCCGTGGAACGAGGTGAGCCTGCGGAGGAGCGCTGCCTGTACATGGGGCATGGGAGCGAAAAGTCAGGCCAGCTGGTAAAAATCTTCGTTGGTGTAAGTGCAGCGTCTGGTGACAACGCCGGCAAGGAATCGTCCATTGTGAGCGCACGTGCACGCGGACAAGCGGTTGTAGACACGGGCTCGACGAGGACGTTGATCAGCCGTGCATTCGCGGACCGCAGCAGCCTCACGTACGACGGCCCAGACACTCTCGAGACTAACCTTGTGGCTCTGGACGGCAATCGAATCGAAGTTCTGGGGCATCTAGAGGTCCTTCTAGAGCGAAACGACGGGCCTGTCAACCTTCCCAGAGTCAAGGTACGAGCGCTTGTAGTTGAAAGCCTAAGCACTGTCCGTGCTGATGTGCTGATTGGAGCGGATGTCGCTTCGCGGTGCGGTGGGTTGCAACTGAAGTATAGTAGTGATGGACAGCTTTGCGGAGTTGTGTTTGGAGCCGCAGCCAGCGACACTGTTGCAGCCACTGCCGATCGGCTGTCCCCGAAGGGGCAGGATGATGATGGTCGATCTGGCCATCCGTCGCGTCGGGTGAAAGTCAGCACCACTGACGAGGGCAAGGTTATGCTCAGTATTGCGGACGGCGACGTGACCTGGAGCCCTGCTGAGAAGCAATGGGAGTTGACCTGGAAGTGGCTCGATGGTGAACCTCCTGCAATGCCGCTCGGCCCGGGTATCGGAGAGTACAGCAGGACGAACCTGACTCCGGAGCAAGAGCGCCTGTTTGTTAGTGAGGTGCAATCCTGGATAGACAACGGCTGGCTGATCAAGCACGACCCGAAGCTACATGGCGAGCCAGCATGTGTGCTGCCGCTCATCGGTGTTCCGCAAGAACACAAGACGACGCCGGTGAGGCCGTGCCTGGATTACCGTCACTTGAATAAAAAGCTCCACTCTGACCCTGGTTTTGACCCACCAGTCTGCGGTGACACGCTACGTCGATGGCGTCAGGCAGGAGAGGATTATGCTCTGCTCGACATTAGGAAGGCATACCTCCAGATCCGGGTTAGCCCGGCGCTGTACCGCTACCAAGTCGTGCTTTGGAAGGGAGAAGCTCACGTCATGACGAGAATGGGATTCGGGTTGGCGGTAGCGCCCAAATTTATGGATGCCGTTGTGAAGTACGTCACCCAGCCGTATCCTGGAGTTGATAACTACTATGACGACCTGCTGGTTCCTAGTGTCCTGGTGCCGAAGGTGTCTGGTGCACTGCATGAGTTCGGCCTACCAACCAAGCCCGCAGAGCAACTGGCAGAGGCTCGAGTCCTTGGCCTCCAGCTGACCAAGTCTTCTAGTGGTGACACGTCCTGGTCGCGAAAGGAGCCAGCTGCCATGACATTGGAGCGTCCGGCAACTAGGAGGAGAATCTTCCAATGGTGTGGACGACTGACAAGCCACTACCCGGTATGCTCATGGCTGCAACCTGCCTGCAGTTTTTTGAAGAGAGCAGCTTCGGCGGACGATGCGTCCTGGGATGATCCAGTCCCACCGGCTATCCAGGTCTGCTGCGAGGAGCTTGAGAAGCGGCTAGCCGAGGTCGACCCAGCAAAGGGAACGTGGAGCATCTCTGCTGGCGACAGCAACACATGGACGGTGTGGTGTGATGCGTCCGGCCTGGCCCTTGGTGCTGCCCTGGAGGTTGACGGCAAGGTGGTGGAGGATACCACGCAGCTACGACCACACAAGGACAAGAGGCACATCAATATTGCCGAATTGGAGGCGGCCATCCTGGGTCTCAATCTGGCTGCGAAGTGGAATGTGAAGCGGATTACGCTGAAGATTGATTCCAAGACCGTCTTCGGGTGGCTGAAGCAAGTGATTAACGATGCCCGACGAGTGAAGACCACTGGCTTGCATGACCTGTTGGTGCAGAGGCGCCTACACATTGTCAGCGATATGATTGACACGATTGGAGCAGCAGTGGATGTTGCTTGGGTGTCGTCTGACTCCAACATTGCAGATGCCCTGACCCGAGTTCCAAGCGTCTGGCTTACTCGATCCGTGGGTAGCATTCCCGACGTCACCGCCGGCGCTGTGTGCGAAACGACAGTTGTTGGCCCAATTTCGTTTGACGCCGTGGCGGCAGCCCAGCTGGAAGACGAAGTGGTGCAGCGTGTCGCCAGCCAAGAGGCTACCCGATCGGCGGTTCGTGATGCTGGTTACAGGAGCGTGGCAAGTCAGCTCGTCGTCGAGGATGGCGTCCTGCTCCGAAGCGTTACGCTGCCTGTTGAGGGTGAAATCCTCGTTCCTGTCATCGCTAAATCCGCGGAAGAGTCTGTTATTAGCGCTGCCCACACCAACTCCGGCCATGCCTCATGGCAGAATATGTACGAGATGTTGCGTGAACGCTGCTACCTACCACGCATGGCCGAGAAATGCCAGCAACATGTCCGCAGCTGCCAGCGTTGCAAGGCTGCGAACGCCGCAGGAGGACAAGCGGCGCCAGCGACACGACCAGATATGCCCGGGAGACCGTGGGGCTGTGTTCAGATCGACACCTTGGAGCTTGGGGCGAGCATGTGACAATATGACAATGTGTGTAGTGTGACGATACAATGTGTGTGTAGACAAACATTACGATTATGTATTTGTTGTGGTGACATCTGTCATCAGTGTGTCATGCCTCTTACCTCATTGTAGCTTCATCCGTAGTCCGCTTCCATTGTCCTTGTTCTATATTCTATTCTATTTCTTCTAGTGCTAGTCGTTTCACTTCTCATCTTTCCTTGAAGTAGTATATTTGAATTGTAATTGTTTTCCTGCAACGATCGCTCGTCGATCGTTGTGTTATATGAGCGTTAGCATGCTAACGCGAGTTAGCAGCCAGCCCAGCGAGCTGGCCCAACCTGCACGCATGCGCGAGTCGCGTGGGCACGCGCCCTTCAATATCCTGTACAATGTCTCTTTCATGTCATTGCTGTTTGGACTTTCGAGCATGCAACTTGCGGAACAGGTGTTCCCGAAACAATTTCCTTTCGTTAGACTTTCAAGCTGGCATTCTCGTATCTCTGCGTTTCAATTCAGACTTCATTGACGCCTGTTGGTGCCTGTTGGTGCCTGAAACAATGTCGTCGTCTACAGTGGAACGTCGACTGTGGTTTTTTAGCTTGCGCCATCATCAGGTTTCCTGAAATGAAGTACCTCCACGCGATCTCAGCGACCCTTGTTTGTGCCTTGAAACAATGTCGTCGTCACCAACCGGCGTCCAGCCTCTCCGGATCGCCTCGCTCTACCTGGCTCCGCCGGCCGCCTACTGCGAACGCAGCGATGGCCGCCACGCAGCACCGCCACTGCAACAGCAGGCGCGAGCCTGACGATCGTAATTCGTATCCAGAGAGGCGAGTTCGTGGACTTTGATTTTCTGTCGGAAGTAACAACGGGAGTTGTCCACTGCCGTCACCAACGCCACCCAGCTTCTCCTCGCTCT